TGTAGCCCATCCGCCTCAAGGTTGTGCGTGTTGTGGCTTCACGAATGCTTTGCTGCATACCTCAGTTGTAACGAGTGGTTATTTCAGTCAAAGTTGCTCTTCTATCAGCTTGAATCGGTCGGCCCATTCTCCTCTGACCTCTAGCCTCAACAAGGCATTTTCACCCACAGGACTGCCACATTCTGGATGTTTTTCCCTTTTCACACCATTCTTTGTAAATCCTAGAAATGGTTGTGCGTGAAAATCCCAGTAACTGAGCAGATTGTGAAGACCAGTCCATCTGGCACCAACAACCATGCCACGCTTGAAATTGCTTAAATCACCTTTCTTTCCCATTCTGACATCCAGTTTGGAGTTCAGGAGATTGTCTTGACCAGGACCACACCCCTAAATGCATTGAAGCAACTGCCATGTGATTGGTTGATTACATTTGCATTAATGGGAAATTGAACAAGTGTTCCTAATAATCCCTTAAGTGAGTGTATAAAAATTGCCAAATCACTTCTACACATTCAGCATCAACAATGCTTTCCCTATAAGGCGAGCAGCGATTAAAATGTCACACCTCAAGCAAAGCGATTTTCTCTTTTAACTCATCCTCTGAGCGTATTATGGGTGGTGTCTTCAACCTAAATGAGGATAGAGTAGTCAGGAACCACAAAAATACACACAGGTAACAGGTAAATGTAAAATCTGCATCATTAAGCATTGTATACTACAGTTCAAATGTTTAGGTCAGTAAGAAATTAGGTCGGTTATTTTAAAACTGTGGAATATTATTACATTTAAAAGAACTGTTTTCTTTTATTTTAAATGTATTCCTCCGATGGCAAAGCAGCAATTAAGTCCCTGATATACTTCAATCAAAAATCAAAGAACGAACTGCTGTGACATCATTTCGAACAAAATCAGGCCGAAACAAAGTTCGCTTCGGTTCGAAACAGCTTGCCAAAACGAACTATCCGGAAAAGTTTGCTACAGCATGTAAACACCTTCGTACTACCATTGGTCCATGGCAATTACATAATAGGTAGGTTTGTGCTGAGTCTCCTCCTTCTTTCACGTGGAAATCTTATTCAGTTTATTTCTCCTGTTCAGTCTGTGGAGGTCAGACATCCACGAGTAAAAACATGAAAACATTGGAGAGCAGCTTTATAGTAGAAAATAAAGTTGTATTTTGATGAAATGACATTGCTATATTGCTGCTACCGTATTCCGAACTTCGTTTTAACCCTAACCAAAGAACGAAGAAGAGGTGAAGAGAATATCGGGGCCTTTACTCCAGTCTTCAGTGTCACACAATCCATCAGAAATCATACTAGAAATATTTCTTATTATTATCAATATCAATGCTAGAAACAGTTGTGCTGCTTAATTTTTTTTTAAGATTCTCAGAATATAAAGTTCAAAAGAACAGCCTTTTTTGTACTTGAAATAGAAAACATTTGTAACATTATAAAGTACTTGCTGTCACTTTTGAACAAATTAATCCATCCTTGCTGAATAAAAGTATTAACAAAATTTGTAATCGAACGGACCCCAAATTTTTGAACGCAACTTACCCAAAGTCATGGGGGATTCGAGTGTAAAATTGGTTGCATGCATCCAAGAGTTCTTTATGACTATTCTTCCTCTTTAAACATTCTTCAATTTTCTTCAAGGAGGCGTAGCCAGCTTTTATTTGCTCTGTAGTTAGTTTTCCTTTAGGGAGAATTAAAATCAATTAATTCAATTTGTTTCATTTGCAATCTTCATGCATATTTTTAACTGCACACACACACACACACCAAGCGGGGCTTTTTTGGTATCAAACTTCATCTCAAGCACATACTCCTCCATGGCTTTGAGGTCACATATAAGCTCTAGTAGAGACTGGACCTTGCAGTTTAGTTGGCAGGGCTTTTGAAATAGGGAGGATACGACAGCTATGTCCTTCTCCTGGTGAAAGGAAAAAATAGGTCTTAATAAGGCTATAAAAAAAGATTGAAACATAAATGCAATATAGAACAATGGATTGGGCACAAAAGTGTCTTTATACCTTGTCTTCAGTGCTGTAGTCAACAAACAGCATGTCATATTTTCCGGCAACTTTCTCAAAATGTGCTCGATGTTCCCACTCATTTTTGGTCTTGTCTAAGAATCTGCAGATTATATGCCGATTCATCCACTCATATCGTATATAGGAAATAACATTGAAGATATTAAGTAAAAGATAAACTTACTTCTTTTTGAAGGTGTCTTTGGCCTGAGCTAGATTCCCCCCACAGTTAACTAAGCTGTTCTGTCCTACTTTACCAACTAAAGAGAAAAACAACAAGAACATGGATAATAATAAAACATCATGATAACAAAGGTCAGCCTGGTAAAGACCATCTGAGGTGTTTCTGCACATACCTCGTCCCCACCGCATCCAAACACTGTAGGCTTTTCCACTGTCATCCTGAAGAAGCTGGATCAGGTAATATTTGTTATTGTTGAACTGAAGATTAGTCTGTAACGCAAGGGTTAAATTAAAATATGTCAAACAATGTAAAAAAAAAATAAACTATCATGGTTCCCACAAAAATATTATGCAGAACAATGATTTCTGAAGGATCATGTGACACTAAAGACTGAAGTCATGACACTGAAAATTCAGCTTTGCATCACAGTAATAAATCGAAAAATCTGAATCAAAATAGAAAGCAGTTATTTTAAATTGTAATAAGATTTCCTAATATTAGTTTTACTGTATTTTTGATCTAATACATGTAGCCTTGGTTAGTATAACTAAGAGATTTCTTTCAAAAACACAAAAAAACAACAACTTTTGAACAGTAATGTAACATCTTCAATATTCACCTGATTCAGCATAACGTCATATACATCGGCACCCTCGTTGTAGACATGGGCCTGTGAATAACCAAAGAAAATAAATCTAATCAAAAGAATGCATTAAAAGCAAACAAAGCCTGTCCTGAGGAAAAGGGAAGATTTTAAAGGCGATTATGCAACAGTTAGTAAAATACTATACAGAAATTTAATTATGGCATCTAATAATTAGCAGGTGAGGTGGATTTACATTACCGTTCCAATTTTAGCCTTGCATTCCGGATCAACCGGGGCTTTTCCCTTCATAACCACCGTCTTTACAACCTCTTCTTAAAAACAGGAGGAAAAAAACAACAACAGGTAAAATCAATCTGAAAAGTCAATTAAGTAACATAATGTGATGCATTCGTGTGGATTTTTTTTTAGGACAGGGCATATTTTATTTTAATTGAAAGAGTTGTGGAAGATGTCTTCCTTTAAAAGGAGATTGAAGGATAGGGGTTGAAAATAAATTAAGAGGAACTGGTAACATCAGAACAAAATGAAAGTTGGGGAAAGTTAATTTATTAGGGAAGCATCACCTTCACATTCTTCTTTTACAACAGGCTTGGCTTTGTTCACCCTTTGACTCCTCCCTTCTTTACGTCTCTTGGAAACAGGTTGCTCCTCTTCCTCCTCTTTCTCTTCTTTAATTGGAGGAACAGCTGCAGCTCCATTATTACCATTCAAAGCATCCCTTCATTCAGATCTTCTGCAATACAGCAAATACTGCTATTAGTTTTCTGTGCCAGATACTGATACAAAAAAATTGAAGCTAATACACACAGGCGTACCTGACTTCACTTTCTGAAGGCGTATTTTTCGTTTGTACTTGGTGACAGTGTTAGTTTGAGTCATTTTCACAAGATCCACTTCATAACCAGGTCCAAGTGACAGTGACACTGACTTTTCTCCAGCCTGTTTTGCTGTATCCAGCTGGACACAGACAGCTGGAGGATACGGTTCCCAATTATCGTCCCCCTTCCACTGCCAAACTGGAAAAAATAAAAACTTGTATTCAGATATTCACTCTTATGTGAAATATGAAAATTTAAGCCTAAACCAGTTTCAAACCTATACAGATAAGTTAGTCATTTAGAGATTAAATTCAATCAAATTGGTGTGGCTATGCTAACGCACTTAAATACACTTATTTAGAAAAGTAAGTTAAGTGTGAATGGGCAATGTGTGTTACTTCAATGCGTGACTCACAGACTTGAATTGCTGATTGTGAAACTTTGAGCTGTTTTCCCAAAGTGAATTCATAACGTTAAGTTACCTGTCTTCGTCTCTGACGATTCACTGCCTGAATCGGACACAGACTTGCCCCGGCAACTCCTTGTTCGTCGCATGCTATCAATAAAACTGCTAAAATGAGAGGAAACGTTGTCAGCAATGGTTCACGTAAATTATCAGTATGAGGTCAACACAATTATTCAGATAGGAGGTGGTGTAATATGAGTCTCTGTATTCACTTCCTCATCATCTAACTACGTTAACGTTACATGGGAACACACACGAGCCAATTTAAGATAAACGTTTGAACAAAACATACTTTAAAGTGACAATTTCCTCTAGCTAAAATTTAAATAATCACAAGATTGAAATGGTTTTCAACACCAACCTGAGAGAATTTGATTGGCGCCAAAATACCTCGGAGTCGGGGGCTGGACCTGTGTTGTCTAGGAACGAATTGTTCACTGTTTCTTTCTACACGGATTTATTTTGAAGTCGGGTTGCCGACGACCACATGAGCTCGAGACTGAGCATACCGACCGGTGTTAACATAGAGTTACTGTAAACAGCGTTAAATTAATTCAGTATCTAATTTGTTGTTATGTGTAGTAATTTTGAATAAAACATGTTTTTACTGGGCAGCCGAATGTATGTTACATGTTCAAGATGCCATTTTGCTTTATGTTTGAGACGAGCGCAACGGGTGAGTTAATCCGTCATATATCTTAATACTTAAGTTACAGAATACCTAAGAATAAAATATATTAATCAGCAAAAGAGCGGAGGGAGAGTAGTCTGAATTGGGTTCTAGCAGCTTGTGCTAACTCACACATTGAACTCATTCGCCAGCCGCGAGTGTTTCCAAGTCGGCGGGGGTCGCATCAGTTGATTTGCATTAATTTGCGCATTTATCAACATCTCGTGCGAGAACACCGCGCTGTGACCTGTGTTTTCTGTGCGCTCGCTCATCTATTCAGATGATGTCCTGCAAGGACAGCGTTTGGCTCTTGTCTCAGACCTTCCCCGAGGTGATTGGACGAGTGACGAGCACTCAGTATGTGACCTCTACAGTGAGCTTCCTGCCGCTGCGAATCTAAACGTGTATGTTGCTTCGTATATACAAGATCCAGGTATAGCTATTCGTTTAAACAATGGTAAGGGTGTAATAATTTTTAAATGTTTTTTTTTCTTATCCGACTAAAATAGTTTCTTGAGAAAAGTATTTTTTTGTTGACGAAACGACGAAACGTTTTGTTTGAACGAGTAAATCTTAGTAAAACAAAAGATGGAGAATATGTTAATTGCTGCGCAGTGATTGGTTAAACTGGTGACTGGTCCTGTATGTGGCCTTTGAGGTATGTGTGTGAGGTATACACACACTAAAAAATACACACATAAAGGATGAAAGTATAAAGGATACATATCCTGACGGAGGCTGTGTAGCCGACTGATTTAGCCCAATTAATTAAAAGCTTTTTACTTTCACCACGCAAGTGGCTTGGATCTTTATAATTTGATGTTTACCTCCAGTTTATCCAGTGAGCACCAGTCTTATCTATGTAAAGACGCCTGTGTAGCACTCTCTGTTTTTGTTGTTTTGTAAAATCTTAAAACTATTTTATTACAGCAAGTTCCCAAGGAAACATTTCTCACTTTCATTTAGTTTAACTCAATGTACTAAAATTTATTCAAACTGAAACAATATGGACTTTTAGGCATTCTTTAGAAAAACAAACAAACCTAATAGTATCTCAATGATACCAAAATGCTGCCTTCCCCTCCAACCAGCTGCTAAGTACTTAAATGTACAATACATAGCATTTACATTCCTTTTTCCTATTTTTTTTTTTCTAAGTGTCAGAGTTCTGCAGCCCCTCTGGAACAGGCCGACTTCTTGAAAGGTGCTCCTCATCGAAAGCACCCCGGTGTAACAAACCTCAAAACAGTGCGCCTACCGGAGCAACTGCAGGTAGCAGCACAATCCGTCTTACAAAGTAAGTAAACATTGATATATCAGTCTATATTTTTTAGTGTATTGAGCATTCAATCATTCTGTGTTCTGAAATGCACATATCAATCACATGTCGCTATAGTTGTGTGTGTAATTGCTCTTAAATGGCTTTATTTGATATTTAGGGGCAGATGTAAAAAGTCTGACTGAAAGGGCACATAAGCTGTCCAACTTCCTTTGGAGCCGGAAGCGAGCAACAGAAACCTCTCAACTCAGGGAGAAAGCCATGCTTCTTGAGAGGTCCCTTTTGGAGCAAGAGGGGGATATCCATAAAGGTGAGTTACAGATGTGATAGACTGTACACTGAAGACTGTAAATAAAACAGTTATTAAATATTTCCTTCAGATGGCAATGACCACAAACTAGAGGCTCGAATAAAAAACAGAGTATTATCTGAACTGAGAAGAACAACATACCACAGGACTCCCCTAAGGTACAAACACATAATCTGTATTCAACATTTCTCATAGAATGGACTGTGAGGTTTTGTATGTTTTATTGGATAACTCAGGATTTATTTTAAGGTATAATGAAGATCTTGGGTTGGTGTATATGGCTGCTAGACTAGCAGGTGGCTATGCTGCTGTCCTCAGAGCATTAAATGAGGTATACTATTCAATGCACATTTTAGCAGTATTTTCATTGCATTTTTTCTGTCGTAAACTGTCTTTCTGATATACATCTCAGATTAAGAAGAGAGAGCCTTTATTTGTACCACATTCTCTAATGGACTTTGGATCAGGACTCGGAACAGGTACATGGTGAGTATGATTTAGATATTCATGTTTTAACATTCTAAAGTGAAAAGAACATTGGGGTCTTAAAATAGGAGTGATTTATTGTGGGATTTATTAACTTGCTTTGAAAGATGCATTTTTTAACTGTATATCGATTAGTGAATTGATATATTTGATTCAGTAGATACTATGTACATGTACTTATTATAGCAATTACAGTAACTCTACTACAAAGTTACTAAACCTACCCCTAAACCTAACCTTAACCCATGCAGTTACGTTATGTTACAAGTAACACATACTGTAAAGTAAAGTGTAACCTTTTATTCTTTCACTCAGGGCATCACACGCACTCTGGGGAGACTCTCTGAAGGAGTATGTTTGTGTAGACAGCTCTGGAGACATGAACACCTTGGCAGAACAACTTCTTAGAGGTAAGGTCATTCAGTCGAACTTTTAAGCACAGTGTTATATAAACAGATTTACAGAAAAAAAAGTGTCTGTTTGTACCAAACAGGGGGCAGTGAGATGGATCACTCAGCAATCCAGCAAGTATATTTCCGCCAGTTCCTCCCTGTTTCTCCTAAGGTATCTTCAGCTGACATCCTTAATTGAATTTATTTGCCCAAATGATACATTGCTTTTACACAACTGAATAAAACAACTGTATTTCCTTTCCACAGGTGCAGTTTGATCTTGTGGTAGCCGCTTTCTCTTTGTCAGAACTGGCCAATCTCGATGAGCGACTGAATGTTATTTTCACACTTTGGAGAAAAACCAACTCCTACCTTGTGAGTGATGGTGCTCGATTTGTTCTTATTGATTAAACTAATGTAATAAATTATAGAACTGTGACATTGAATATAGTTTTTTTCACTGTTGTGCAGTGTCGTTAACTAAAACTACGAAAAATATTTTTGTTAATCGAAATGTAGTACTACAATTACTCAAACTAAAAGTGAAATAAAAATAAATCAAAGCTAAATGAAAAAAATGACAAAACCACACAATTACTAGAATTATAATGAAAACTGAAAATATAAAAATAAGAGCTAATTCAAAATATTAATAAATACTTTAAATAAATATTGCTACAATAACACTGCTATCTAAACAGAGTTTTTCTAATGCACTTCTTGATATTTTGTACAGGTATTGGTGGAGAATGGAACCAAGGATGGCCATCAAATCTTAATGGAGGCCAGAGACGCTATACTTAATGTACGATCTAAGTTTTTTTGCTGTATGTCAAATTGCTAAAATATGTCTTTCTGTTTGAAGTGGTAGTGATAGAACTGCATCTTTCAGAAATCTTCAGAAATACCAGAAAGTGTCTGATGTAATTTCTCTCAAACTTTTGCTGTCTAACTATAGAGAGAAGAGGAGGTACAGCATGACTTGAGGAGACCATCTATATTTGCTCCTGTAGGTTGGAATATCATTGAAACCATCCTTATTTGTCCCATTATTATGATATACTCATATACTGTGGCTGTCAATATCTACTGCTGGGTTTCATTTTGAACAGTGCACTCATGAGCTGCCTTGTCCCAAGATGATCAAGCGACCTGTAGTACCTTGTAACTTCACTCAGTTCTACTATTCTTTGCCCTTATCTCGGGTAAGTTCAAAACTGTGTTCAAGCAGTTGACTTTCGAATTGTGAGATTTGTCTTCAATGACTGAATTTTTGTTCTGTAGATGTTTTCATAAGATGTTGTATTTAATTATTGGTTGTATATTCCAATATATTGTATATTTCTCTCCCTATCTCTCTTTATGAATCAATCATTACAGAGCCAAGAGAGGCAGCAGGAGAAGTTCAGTTTCCTGATTATATCCAGGTCCGATGGACAGAAGGCTCAGGAGACTGAGCAGTGGGACATGGCCAGACTGATCGCACAAGTCCGTCGCCGACCCAGACATGTTCAGTGTCAGCTGTGCTGCGCCAATGGAGAACTCAAACAACTCGCTGTTACAGCCCGTCATCATGGAAAGTATGTAATGCTTTCATTTAATAGATCTCTTCTTGCATTTTCAGTGAACAACCTCCTCCTATACTACTACCTCTATTACGTTATGCAGGTAGAAATCATACAGGTTGTTTTAACAATGTTTTTTGTTGTCCGTTTTAACAGGGACATGTACAGATGTGCTCGTAACAGTGACTGGGGAGATCTGCTGCCAATATTTCATGCAGAAGATTCCACTGAAAATGATGAGACTCAATGAGGCTACTACAATAATCTGTTAATGCAGTGTTTGTGGATTACAGTCTGATTTTTGTAATGTTTCTTTCCAAATACACTAGTTGATCAATGCAACCTAATTGTGATTTGCTAATGCAATGAACCCATGCTCACTATTCACCAGTATCAAAGCCCAAAATCCAAATTGAAGTCAGCATAATTGAAGCTGCGATAGTTCTTCCCTACTGTGACATATTGAAGTGAACAAACAGCTTCTGACCAAGAAGGGTGGGACTTGGTTTTGTCCATTGGTAATTGATTGGAAGGTTGTGTTTGCTAATGCGGTGATGATCTCATGACAGGTTGTCCCACCCTTTCACCAGTAAAACACATCATCAGAGAAAAGAAGAGACATTGTTGCAATAGGGAAGGAAAGTCATTTTGATTAAAAATTATGAGGGCACATAAAAAAAATAAACATGCATGTGCATATTTATAACAAATACTGCAATATTCCATAAAAATAAGAAAATTTCCATTTTGATTTCATGGTCAATAAAGTTATACATAATTCCCCTCAAGGCAGAGCTAACAGCAGTATATAATATAGGTATAAATATGAGTAGCATTCTATTAGTTTATATTATTTAATAAGGACACCTATTAAAGCTATACATAGGCCTGGTTTCATAGAGGGCTTGGATTAAACCAGGATTAGGGCTTAGTTGAATTAGGACATGTATGTAGCTTTTATAAACATGCCTTAGGAAAAAAAAACATTACTAGTGTGCATCTTGAGACAAAATAATGTCACTGACATGTTGTAACAAGCATTTTTGGGACATATTTTAAGATATGTCAGTACAAGTTGCTGCAATTTAAAATAGTTTAAACGTGATTATTTTTTTTTCGGGACTAGCTTGTCCATGAAACCGGCAAATAATAATGATGCGTCTGAATCAGCAAAAGAGCGGAGGGAGAGTAGTCTGAATTGGGTTCTAGCAGCTTGTGCTAGCTCACACATTGAACTCATTCGCCAGCCGCGAGTGTTTCCAAGTCAGCGGGGATCGCATCAGTTGATTTGCATTAATCTGCGCATTTATCAACATCTCGTGCGAGAACACCGCGCTGTGACCCGTGTTTTCTGTGCGCTCGCTCATCTATTCAGATGATGTCCTGCAAGGACAGCGTTTGGCTCTTGTCTCAGACCTTCCCCGAGGTGATTGGACGAGTGACGAGCACTCAGTATGTGACCTCTACAGTGAGCTTCCTGCCGCTCTGAGCAATGACGTAGAATACCAGTCGTCTTATATGCTCGCTATCGAACAATACTTTACATAGATGGTAAGCATGTAGGTAATGGTAGTAAAACATTTATAAAACGTGAAGTTATAAAACATTTCAGATACTAATTTCCACTGAAATTTTTTATTTCGTTTGTTATAATATAGTACACGAAACTCCGTAGAATGTTCAAGGTGGTGTTTATGTAAATGATTTCACAGTGATTGGGTAGTTGAGGCATGACGTAACCGTAGACCTTTTCAATATATATTTTTGAAATGTAAAAAGTAATACATAATGTAATTGTGTATTTTATTGGGATACATTTACACAAACCAAATTTCTTACATTTTACATATTTAAAATTATACATAAACATTTTGGAATCAATAAATTAAAATGTGCAATGTAATACATGCAATGTTTTAAAACCATTAAAATATACATAATTGATTTTTTTTTTTTTTCAGGAAGCAATTGTGAATAATTTGACTGCTGTAATACCTCTTGTTCTCGTGGCACTGAATACAAACATTGGATAAGGGAAGTTGTGGAAACAACTTAATGAAACACCTTTTGCCTTTGCTAGTCTTTATTTTGAATAGCTGTATGCCAAAAAAGTGAAATGCTGTATAAAATAGTTTTGCATGGAGTATACAAAGATACAACACTAGAAATGTCAACTTCTCAAAAATATTTAATGAGTATTTTCATATAATTGCAATTTTGGATAGTTAATGTACTTAAACTTTCCACTGTCAGTTCCACAAAGTTTTACTTTTGTGCTGTATCTCAACATAATTCATCTTGAGGTTAACAAGTTTTTTTTATTAATATTGTTTGTATTTTAAGTTTTATAGGAAGCAGTAACATGATAAATTCCTTAGAAGCATGTTGTGCACATCTAAGTGAATCCAGATTAAAAAGCTGGTGTATATGAATTTTGTCCATACACAGATTTTTTTGTTGATGTGCTTTTGTTCCAATGGTAGTTTTTAAAGAAAAATATGTAAACGTTCCATCTAGAGGAAGACCTCATGAATCAGACAGATGAGCCAAATATAGCCACTCAAAGTCATGAGAGACATAACATCTGCTTTTATCATCTAATGATACTCAGAGATACCACAGCTGGACTCAAAACATTTTATGTCGACATTTATTTACAAATGCAGTGCTCATTTTGTACACACAGAGCTTTATTTTGTATATGCATAATTATAAATGATATGCAATAACTGCACTAGTATGCATAAAGAATCTCTTCATGTCTCTTCTCTATATCGACTGATCACTAATATCCAACAATTTCTTTTATAGCAGAAGTAAGATCTGGGTATTGAAATTCAAAGCCTGATTCAAGAGTTCTCTTGGGCACTACTTTCTGGCCTTGTGTGAGGATAACAGCTCTTTCAGATCCGAGGACGACATCCAAGAAAAAGCCAGGCACAGGGAAGATGGTAGGTCTTTTTAGAGCACGGCCCAACTCTTTAGTGAATTCAAAATTTGTATTCAATGCAGGTGCAACTCCATTAAAAACATCTGGCTCTGTGGATGGTGGTCCTTCATGGGGCTCCAAGTTATGGGCAATGATGCCAGCAAGGTCTGAAACATGGATCCAAGGGAAGGGCTGACGTCCTGAGCCAAGCGTCCCACCCAGGCCAAGCCAAAAGGGAATCATCATCTGTTTCATGGCGCCACCGTCACGCCCTAACACTGCACCTGAAGGTGAGAGAGGAGGAAAGTACATAATTGCACTACCATTCAAAAGTTAAGATTCATCAAGACTTGTTTTTAAAAGGCTACATTTATTTCAGCAAAAATACTTTCAAAACAGTAAAACAATTAAAAACAACTGTGTTCTATTGTGATATATTTTCAAATGTAGTCCATTGAAGGGTTGGGGTCAGAATCGCCTCTTCAATATATCTATATATCATTTTGAGTGCTAACATTATTCCAATAAAAAATGTATAAGCATGTTTATTTAATCATTTCTATATTCAATGAGTTATTACTATATATTGCTAACCATGTGTTGCTGTCAACATTTTTACCAGTTTCTAAGTGCCCTGAACGAACACCCGCAAAACCGGCTCTTTTTATGGGGAAAAAAGTTGTTAAGATAATAGAAGAGGTTAAGTCTGAAGAAGACCCTCATCAGATGAGCAAGTTAAGGTTACAGGGGTCATTTGTGTGTTTCTATAATGAACAAAGTGAACATTATTTGTATTCTGAGGAGGGAATGTTATATCAGTATGTTTTGGTAGTTTGTCCTGATAATGGTGAGCTCAGGCCCTCTTCAACCTGCTCTGTGCAGGTCTTGTGAGATGCCTCAGCAGACCCCCGAGACAACTTTCTACGACTTCCAGGGACACACTGGGATTAAATCTTGGATTCTGCAGACAGTCAACTTATTAATGACTTACCCTATTATCTCTCTATATGTATGGCATTATTTAGACTTTATGATCTCTTAGCCAATCCAGAAGTAGACAACATGTACTCATGTCATTCTTGCTCTTGGAAATGGTATAACTGGTGTGAGTTACCCCCATAACACTATTCCTGTGATGGTAAAGCTGAATTTTACTCCAGTATTCAGTGTCACATGATCCTTCAGAAATCATTCTAATATGCTGATTTGTTGATCGGGAAACATTTCTTATTGCCAATGTTGAAAACAGTTGCTTAATATTTTTTATGGAAACCATGATTTTCTGAATTATTTCATGGATAGAAACTTCAAAAGAACAGCATTTATTTGAAATAGAAAACTTATGTTATGAATGTCTTTACATTAACCTTTAATCAATCTAATGCATCTTTGTTGAATAAAGGTATTTGAATTGAATGAGATGTTTGTTTAGATTCACCTGGTCTGATAATCACTTGTCTTGTTTTCTTAGCAGAGTTTTCAGGAAGTTGTCCTGCCCCCTCCCACTCTTTCACCAGGCGAGACAGGAAGTCAAATGGTGTCCAGTTGCTCTCTTCAGTGTACTGGTTTTGAAGACTAGGTTTATAACACGCTGAAGACAAAATCAGAGAAAAACTGCAAAAAAAGTCTACTTTATAAAATTGCAATTCATTCATAATTAAATTTAACTATAGAAAACAACAACGACATTATTCTGACTATATTTCCTTTAAATTATCAAATCAGTACAGAGGAGACAGGACTATAGATGAACAGAGAAGTGAATGAGATTATTCTGTCATGTTATTCTGTATTATTTGATTTAAAAAAAAAAAAAAGTCATATTTTGTCTAGCTTGCTCAAACACCACCACTTATTTACCTACTCCTGTAACAAGCACCCATGAATGTGGTGGAGTAGGTGATGCAGCAATAGCTTGGGCAAGAATTTTGGTTGTGTTTACTCGGCTGGAGGACAGATCATTTTTGTAACTTTCATTCCACCTAGAGTGTCAAATACAAAATATTAAAATTACTTTCACAAAACCATATTAAGGGGGAAGATAATTATTTATATACACTGAGGGGAAAAAAGTCCTCACCATCTCAAAGGGTTCATAATAGTCTCCCCTGCTAGATTCACAGCGCCCTCACATGGCGGGAGGCCCCCTGATTCTACATCAGCCTGCGATAAATAAACATAGGTCAGGGACACAGGGGTCCAAAACTCATTTCCTGGAGGGCCACAGACATGCAGAGTTTAGTTCCATCCCTGCTCCAACACACATACCTGAGGTTTTGAAATAATCCCAAGGGACTTGATTAGCTGGATCAGTTTCATTTAATTAGAGTTGAAGCGAAACTCTGCAGAGCTGTGGCCCTTCACAGTTCAGTAACTGAGTTTTGTACCCCTGACATAGGTCAATGTGGCCTCATCATCAACATTTACATTTAACTCTACATTTAAGAGGTATTTACAAATCACACATTTAGTGAACAACTCTGAACTGAGCCAGACCTTACAACGAAATTTAATGATATACATTTTCCTATGATACTGAATGATATAATAGCATGTCTGGTATTACTTTGGCTTGTAGCTAAAGATATATATATATATATTCATTCACCACTGACATATTTACAGATACCAAAAATCATAAGGTGGATTTTGATATCAATATAGTCTTTAATGTAAGTTACATCATACCCATGTTATTTGTCCTGGACCAGGCTGCCTGGATATGATTGTGATTTCATGACCTTTGGTTTTCAGCAAACGTATCAGCTCACGACCCACAAACCCTGAGCCTCCGCCTGATGAGTGAAAAAAGTGAGAAAACTAAAGCTTTATAAATTTTACAATCAAATAAAGAGTATAAGCTACAACCATATGTCCGTGATATATTATATATATATATATATATATATATATATATATATATATATATATATATATATATATATATATGACATTTGCAGCCCAATAATAATAATAGCAGAGAAGAGCTCTGCACGTGTACACGCGCATGCGCTGTTACAGAACTTACGAAACAAATCACCTTAAGAAAAATAAAACTGATAATAATAACACATAGTCTCATAATAACACAATCACATAAAATCTAATAAGTTAATACATAAATAAGTTTGAATGTTTCTATCACAAAATAGCTGTCAGTGTTACAAACAGCCTATGTTTACAAACCAGCACACACAATGAGCTATTTTTGTTACGCATCATGCAGGGATAGCGAAAAAATTGATAAATGTGATATACCTATTACAACTCTCATTATGCTTATAAAATAGAGCCCGTTTATCACGACAACTTGCAGAAATCCTCTTCTTTCACATCTTTCTGTTTGCCGCTACTGTGCCCAAATGCCTACCAGAGCCTACGAAGGTCGTACATACCACGTGATCCACACAAATTGGAGTGTAACTGCAGCCATGTTGATAAGGATTGTACCTTTATGCCTTTAACTGAAAACTATGATCATTGAGCAACAATGACATTCCATACTAATGTGTAATATGAAATTTAAAAATAAGTTATAAAAATAATAATTGCCTTTTGGTAAAACCAATCTTTGGCCACAACTGCTGTTTTAAATGGATCATACTATGTCTGCTGATAATTCATATAATGTAAAAATGAATAAACGCATTTCTATACACAAGTCACATCATGCTGGACTGCCTGAATTTAAATGATATTACTCAATAATTTATAATTTATGTGAGTCCGCCCGCAACCGGAAGTGATTTTTTTTTTCCTGGAGAAACACGTGGTTGGTTAGGAGATAAATTCGGCCTCCTGCCATTGTAACATTCTTTCTGCTTGCAATTGTCATTGGTGCAGTAGCGTTTGTGTGCAGTCATTGAAATATTTGTTTTGAATTCCTTTTTCGATGTGTTAATACCTTATGACTAGTTTAGTTGCTATTTATATATTTATTTTTATATATAAAATATATATTTGACATTTTTAACTTTAGACGAAAAGTTCACGGTCTGCATGCTCTGACCGTTTTAGAAAATATACATAACTACAGCTACAGGTCAAAACGATGCGTTTTCATAACCTTACCGGTTTAAAGGACACATTGGAGTGTATTCTGTAAGTTTAACTTTTGATTCATATTTTCGAGCAATACTGAAAATGAAAGCCAGTAAGCTGCGCGTTTTCAATTATTGGTGGCTGAATTGGCAGGTGCATCTGCACTACATACAGATGCCCATTTATACCCGGCTGTATCATTGCTGTAACGTTTTTGCCTGAACCAAGTGCGCAGCTTCTTAACCTAGACATGATGATTTTGCAGTCCGTGTTTCACCTGAACCTAATGATTACAAACCTACTGCACTGACTGGTTAAAGCTGCGGAATAAAGCTGTGAGATGTTATGGTTCCTTCAGAATTCATTCTAATGTGCGAAAATGTATTTTACAGGGACCCGCCTCGAGTCCCTATGCTTGAGTCCAATGGTGAGTCCAAATCTCATGTTTCTCATGCTAATGTCTTGCACAAAGTTGATGAACTGCATGCGTCCGTGTTTATGAACTTCCGTGATTTCTTGACATGCTCTGAAAAAGTGCTCTTTGGTTAAAACTAATCTTAAATTTAGTCTGAATGCTCTAACATCATTGTTAATATTCTGCAGGAACCTCAACTTATAAAAAGGTTAGCAGGGAGGTGTTCAATAAGGTAGGTTTTTGTTTTATTCTGACCTTGAGTAAATGCATCTTTAAAGATCATTCTGAGATGTCAATATAGTCTGAGATGTAAGTTACAGTACATAAATCATGCCTTTTTTTTCTGTACCAGGCTTCCTGTGCCTGGATATGATTGTGATTTTTCTTTGCCTTTGCTTTTCAGCGAACGCTATGGCTCACGACCCACAAACCCTGAGCTTTTGCCTGAGAGGAAAAAAGTGAGACATAAGTCTTTCATTTTACAATCAAACGAAGAATAAGATGCAACAAAAGGGGTATATTTATCTGTATTAAAGTAGATTGTATTTATTTTTTCAACATTACAATTACATTACATTCATAACAATTCATAACAATGGCCATCCTGCATGCGCTTTTGCTGCACTTCCAAAAAAGATCACCTCAAGAAATTGAAATCACTTTTTCAGTATCGATAAATTAACACATCAGTGTCTTAACACGGTCACATACAAAGTTTTCAAAATATTTTAGGACCGGAGTGTAATGTAGCAAAGCTGTTTCTGTCCATAGATGCTCTGTGGTCCAAAACGGCAAACAAAATGTACAATTTGTTGTGCCATCATGCAGTGAAAATTAAAATGTGACCTCTATTACAACTCATGCTAGTAGTCAGTTTATTCTGACAACTTGCAGAAATCCATTTTCCCATCTTTTGCCTACGAAGGCTGTATGTCGCTTACTACGTGATCCACACAAATTGGAGCGTAACTGCAGCCATGTTAAGGGTGGCAATTTGCCTTTTAACTGAACCATCAGTGTTGTGCTGTTCTGAACCATGCAACAATATTTCATGCCATTTAGAAATGCTATTTGTAATATTAAGTAAAATACAATAGCACGCACTAACAATTCCCTTTTAGTATAACAGTTTTATTAATTATGCCTACAACTACAGTTTTAAATGCATCCTATGTCTGCTGGCAATTCCTGCAACACCAATTAATCAAAGCTATTCTATACAAGTCACATGTTGGTCTGCCTGAATTTAATGCTTTTTCTCTGGGGATTTAGTCAAAGAAACAAGGACTAGATATAAATGAAGACCCCGAAGCAAGTGCAGTCAATTGAAGAATTTTGAAAGAATAGTTTGCTGTTTCATCAGCAGAATACAGCTTCAACACTCACAAGGAGTTTGTAGGCCACTTAGCCATACATTCACATGTTCACAGCAATACTACCTTATATAAGTCTCTAAACTACGTCATTACTGCAGGTTGAAGGGTTCTGATTGGCTAAGAAATGGATAAACTTAGAAAATGGCTGTATAATTTTAAATGTGCTTTTGTCTATCAGTCCATGTGTGGATGATACCAGGACCCTGGTTTTAGGCACCAAGTGACCTTCCTAGGTCTCAGTCCGATATGTTTCTGGGCGCCAGCTGTTTTCTACGGCCTCTGACCGTTTTAGGGAAAAAAAATCTATTATAGCAAACGCTATATAGCTACAATTCAAAAGGATGTTTTTATAATTGCATGTACCCTTTGGAGCATATTCTTTTGATTCATATTTTAGAGCAATACTGAAATCCAATAAGTTGCTTTTTTTTTTTTTTTTCAATACATTTTGTTGATGGCTGAATTTGCAGGTGCATCTGCTTTAACTACATCCAGATGCTGCTTGTATCATTGCTGTAACGTTTTTGCCTGAACCAAGTGCGCAGCTTCTCAACCTTGACATGATGATTTTTGCAGTCCGTGTTTCACCTGAATCTAATGATTACAAACCTACTGCACTGACTGGTTAAAGCTGCGGAATAAAGATGTGATGTTATGGTTCCTTCAGAATTCATTCTAATGTGCGAAAATGTATTTTACAGGGACCCACCTCGAGTCCCTATGCTTGAGTCCAATGGTGAGTCCAAATCTCATATTTCTCATGCTAATGTCTTGCACAAAGTTGATGAAATACCTGGTGTTTATGAAATTCAGTGATTTCTTGACCTGCTCTGAAAAAGACCTCTTTGGTTAAAACTAATCTTAACTTTAGTCTGAATGCAGGAACCTCAACTTATTAAAAGGTTAGCAGGGAGGTGTTCAATAAGGTAGGTTTTTCGTTTATTCTGACATTAAGCGCATCCTTAAAGAACCGTCTGTGATCTCTTTATTCTAATTCTGTGTATTGTTTTCTTTGTTTAGGTATTTACTTCATGTGATCTGTCTCTTTACTGTGGAGTCAATTGAGGTTTACATAGGCCTGCTAGAGACAAACATTTCTATGCTACCTAACAGAAGAATATACAATTCTGACTTGTAGATTTGTCCATTTTGAGTTGCATGCTGTCTTGTTGGTTTGAAAGGTGACTGCAGTGTATACCGTCAGTGATGTAAAGACTTGAAACTGCAACAATAAATTCTCATTTATATCTGGTTTAATTCATCGTGTGAATTTAATGTGTGTTCCTTTGAACCTGGATGTCAAACTATTTGCCTTAAATATTTGACGCTTCAAACAGTCCTTCTGAAGTGTTCGTTTTCTGCATTTGAGGTTGTATTGCCTACAAGTGAAAGCACAAACTATAATTCTAAATGTTCTCATGCTAATGTAATTTCATAATCCCACTCCTGTAAATGAACACTGTTGTAAGTACTCTTTGTGTAGAGTATTTATATTTACATTAGAGTACAAGGTTTCTTTTTCGTACAATTGTGCAAAACTACTCCAGATTTACCAGGATTGTTCCATAGGAACAATGGCTGATCCATATGTATAACAACTTTGTAAACTGCGAACTTTAAAGATCATTTTAATATGTAGGTGAATTGGCTCATTTATATCAATGGAGTTAAATGCATTTTAAATGACTGCTATATGCATTTTCCCTGGTGTTAATTCCCTTTTAGTATCAAAAATGTCCTGTCTTAGATTATATGGTTCTCCACTCCATGAGGTTTAAAGTCTGATAACCTCTTTGGTCTGGCTTCTTCGGGCACCATAGTCCAGGACTGTGCCCTCAAAGAGTCGAGCCATGAATGCCAGGCCGTCAGCTTTGATGTAAGAGCGTCCAGCAAAGGCGTAGAGGATAGGATTGGCAGAACTACTGATAAAAGCCAGAGCGGATGTAACCGCACGGCTGGACTGTGAGATTTTATCCAATCTGGAAATAGACAGAGGAGGAGGTGGTTAACTTTGTGAAAAATCTGTACTTTAAAATCTTTAGCACACCACTTACCTTTTTTGGGTTGGTCCCTTTTGTATAAGTGCTGCCACCACCTGACCAGAAGATAATTAATTCATACACTTGTTACAAAATAATTTCTAGGATTTGGGAAGATTAACAGATTTAAATAAAATAGAAAAATTACTTACTTGCATTATATTAATAATGTGATAAGGAAGCCAAAAAATGCAGAAGGTCACAATGATGGCTTGAATAAGATTCTCGCTTCGTATCCTTCTCTTGAACATGGTCTGTCTGAGGCGGCGAAGGATACACACATAACTGCTGACAATGATCACATATGGTACCAGGAAGCCCACCACTGTCTCAAGTGTGTACTGGAATACCACCTGTTCGTAATGATGACATGTATGAATTATGACATTTTGTAAGGATAATGCACAGTCTGTAGATCACTATCGAAAAATAACCATAGATCACCTGGAGTAGCTTATATTAATTCTACTGTATATTATAGTACAGTAATATTAAAAGTTTTCTGAGGTAATTTTCAACATGATTAATAACTAAAAATGTTTGAAGGTTCATAATATAAATTACAACAATTTTTCTGGTATGCATTTATGAGCAGCTTGTTTTCAAACATATATTTCTAGAACTGAATATTCTTTAATAAAGCAAAAGTTCTTAATAATACAATTTCACAATGAAATAAGAACTTTTCAATATATATATATATATATAACTGTTTACACCTTGATGTGTTTTTTATTATTATTAATTTAACTTCATTTAAATAATATTAATTCATCCTAGAGCCCTGTTAGAAGTTAGAAGCCCCGTGCCCATTGGTTGAGAATCACTAGTTTACACGAAACGAGAGCAAGTCTGCAGCGTGATATATGAGAAATATAAAATACAATTCTAAGCAGTTTGATATGTACAGCATTGTTGTATCCATAGACGATGGATAGACCAATCATAATCAAGTATTCAAGCATCAGTGGAGCAAAGAGAAACCACTCACATGCTGAGAATGCTGGTGATGAGTTGCACATATTGTGCGGTTCGTTCCGTGGTCATTCGTAATTGTTTCTTCTCTGAATATCAAAGCAGGAAGTGCCAAAAGAAATACAAAAATCCACAGGCCCCCGAGCACAAGTAATACCATCCGTCTACGAGTACAAGCAGTCAAGTATGTGGGCCACACCACTGCCACTAGTCTGTGTAGACTCATCAGCGTAATGATCATAATAGAAGCGTACATGTTTGTATTGCACAAGTAGAAAAGCAGCTTGCACATGACACCTCCAAATATCCACTCCTGCTTGGCAAGGTAAATTATAAAGAAAAACGTCAGACACATCAGAAAACCGTCTGCACACGCCAGGTGGAAGATGAGCAGTGTAGTGACGGAGCGTTTGCGGGCACGTGCCAGGATGCTCCAGATAATGAAGAGGTTGCCTGGAACACCCAGGAGGAAGACAATGCTGAGAATGAGGGCCCCAAAGGTAAGAGAAATGTTGTTACCCATGCTCTTGGGACCGTTTATTGTCGTGTTATCCATGGAGGAGTTCCCATTTTCTGATCCCATGATGAAGGCGTCAGAAGAACTGATGGAATCAGAAAGCAATATTTGAAGATGGAAATTGTTTCATAACCTAGCCCTGCTAAAAATGTTTTTAAAAAAGTGCATAAAATCCCTATACACCAGTCAACAGACTATCCTGACAACAGGTTAGACTAGCAAACTATCTTAGATTATTTATTATTATGTATTTATTTATTTGTCGGCTGTTATAATGTTTTATAAACTGAAAAAAAATAGTTTAGGATTTACTTTCAAACAATTTTCACTTGTAAATTTCACAAATAATTAATAAGAAATGACAATACATTGAATCAAACACAGTCTATAAGAAATTGTAAGGTACTTCACTAATCTTGAAAAATAATTGAAAAAAAATTAAACTTAACATTGTACTTTTATTTTCTAGACTAACTTGAAATTATTATTAGCACATGATCAGTTGGGGTAAAAAAAAATAGATTTTACCCCTAATTCAGATGAATTATTGAGGGTTTTTTTTTTCGTCAGTGGGCAAATAAAGTATGAGCCAGCATCAAGGATGGGCTCTCAACCACCATACAAGTATTGAAATTCAGCCAGTAATCTGCCATCAATGAAAAAAAAAATATGCATGGAAACAACGTGCTACAACTTGCTGTTATATTGCGCTCAACCATAGCCACTTATGCTGTGCTGTAGATGCCTCAAAAGCTCTCTTATATCTAAAAGTATGATTTTTTTACAGCAATTGTCAAGAAAATAATACCTCATTTAAAGTAAATTTAAAAGAAAACAGGTTAAGCAAGGCATTTAAAGAAAGAGCATTGGGAGGATATTCACAAATTGAACTGTGTAAGAAGATACGATTGTCCAGTCGGCAGTGTCATCAGTTGGTTCTGATTACGCACGTTGTTGACCTCAGAACGGCAAAGATAAGTGAAATTGAGAAATTGGACGGAGTTTCGTCAACAGAAAGTGGCCTGAAAGGACAAAGACGGAGATGGAAAAATACAGGCAAATTATGAGAAAAAAAGACTGTAATGTATTTCCACTTTGAAAATCAAATTTGTAACTCACCAATACACTTGATTAGATCCGAATGCCTGAAATGTATTTTCCCTGAAGTTTTCCCTGAAGTGACCAGATGGACCTGGTTAGGTTGTGTGGTCTCCGAGTTGGTCTCTCTACTTCTTTCCCCTGTCTCTCAGATAAACTTTCACATCTTATTGTAAATTTCTTAAGTTTGTTTATATTGTTTTTCAGTGATCTCACTCTATCAAATTTTATATAAGCTATTTAATAATCAAGCACACTTATACTTATCAATGCCTACTGCTTCTTTCTGTTACTAAACTGTTAGTCTTCTGACATATTTCTGACATCGTGTTCAAATTTACTCCACCCCACTCCTCTTTCTTTTTCTACTCCCTGTTTCAACACCAATTTCCATGTCTTTTTTTTTTTTTTAAATGAAAGTACAAAGTTAACCTACACACCATTCCTGAAGCATGCGGAAAGGTTTGGATGAGGTTAATCACACAGTTACATGCCTTGGCATGTTTCTTCTACCTGCTCTTACTTGCTTTACCTTTTCAGATTTTTTCCTTTCACTTTTTCCCTGACACATAAATATCTTGATTTAAAAACCACAACCCACCAAGTATTCACCAAATATGAATATTTGCATCAGTTCAGTACTCACCATCATGTTTCATACTGTCTTTCTTTCTTCCGTGGAACACAAAATGAGACATTTTGAAGAATGGCCACTAATGAAAATCACTAGAGAAAGGTGATGTTGCGCTCAAGGACAAAGAAGCATAAAAGTATCATAAAAGTGGTTTATACAACTCTTCTATATTCAAATGTCTTTTGAAGCCATACTTTTAGCAAGGTATTATTACTCAGAAGAGTATTAAGAGCAGAACACGAGTCTCAGGTTCATCCAAGAAAATGTGTGCTATAGCACTTTTAGCACTTGGTAAATATTGGCAACACATAAAGGTTTTGGAATTATAGTTCAATGAAGAACATTCTAAACACTTTTAAAGTCAGGATGAAACAGAAGTTACAACTTCAATATTGTGACATAAATGAAACAAAGAACAAAGAAACATTTTTTGTCAAGAAAGTAACACTTGATTTTGTCCATCAGGAATTGATTGGATGGTTGTGTGTGTGTGTGTGTGTGTGTGAGAGAGAGAGAGAGAGAGAGAGAGAGAGAGAGAGAGAGAGAGAGAGAGAGAGGGAGAGGGAGGACTTAGCAAGAAAATACACTTCCTTATTTCTGACCTTTGGGTCATTATTCAGTGACCTGTTTCCCATGAGAAATAAAAGCTTCTCCAAACTCTCATGACTGGGTTCAATAGAGCACCAAAGTGAGCAGCCCAGTCATTGCTTTGCATGAAGTTTACAGTTACTCAAATTTGCATATATGTCATTGTGACGTTATTGGAGGCTGTGTGGGAACTAAACATACCAGCTATCTTTGTTGTCCACATGATGGCAACATTCTTCCATAAATATGCTTTTGGGAGTGGATGGTGAAGTTGATGGTGGATGGTGAAGCTGCCAGCACAGATTGCTGCTGATGAGAAGCTCATGCATAACTCTGATATAACGAAATGGGCCACCTCACAATCAAGCCCTGTGCTTAAGACCATAAGATCCCATTTTAAAAAAGGCTCATATTCTTTATATGCTAGTCTCTAGCAGAATTATGGCTGTTCCCATCAAATTAAATGGGAAAGTAATTTCCAGTACTGATGAATCCCAGCCAGATGCCTCTCAACTTATCAAGCAATAGATGCCATGGAAAGCTCACTTCTAAGCATCAAACTCGAGACAAGCTTTAAAATAAGACAAAAGATAATTATTGTGAGAATTGTCAGAAAGCAGAAAGAGGGAGAGAGAGAAAATGTTTATTTAAGTTTTTCATCTCCCGTTTCAGACAGAGTGCAGACTACAGAGGATAATGAGAAACAGATCTTACAGGGGGAGGGAAAGGAGGGAGAACTGGGATAAAGAGTTGGGGAAAAGGAAGGGGAGGGACATAGAATGGGGAAAGTATGATGAGGGGAAGAGAGAGAGAGAGTGAGAGGGAAATAGAGAGAGAGAATGACTGTAGTTATGGCGTCATAGATGGACAAACTTTCAGCATTCAGTGTCTTGTCTAAAACAAAAATAGCCACTATGTTTAAACATGTGGAAAAGAAATATGAAATATGTTTTTCTCAGAACCTGTTTGCCAGACAAGACTTTTGCCGGTGTCTGTCCAGGGAATTCTCTAGAGAACGTGCTTCTGCTTTTTAAAAAATGTGTGTTGGAATAGATTCTTGTGGGTATCATAAAGTTATACTTCACACAGTTCACTCCAAAATATGTAGTTGTACTCACTGACCAATCAACACACTTTGCAGCAAAAGCGGGCATGTAAAGTTAAGATCTGTTGATTGACAAGTCAAATAGCCAATTGGGAGAGAGTAACGGTACTGAGGAACCCGCCCAAAGGCAATTAAGGGTAAAGAACGAAAAAGAACTACATATAACTTTTTGTTCTATGCTGGTGGAGGGGTGATGGTATGAATGTAAATTCTACGGGTATTTGTTATTGAACGTGAACGTATGTGGGACTTGAATCTTTGAATATGGACTGTTCTGGACGATGGAAGTTCGTGAGATGAAGTTATAATAACAGACTGTCACGGAAATCGCAAGCCAATCTACAGGGAAGAAAAGGATAGATAAAGAGATGTGCAACTGTTAAACAGCAAGAGCGATACGGAAATAAAAAAATGGTCAATGCAAATGTGATACTTCAACTTGAGGATAACTTTTAATTCTTTAATGTAGCCTCATACAAGGAAGGCACACGAAGGAGAACGTGGATCGCGCACAGTGATATTCTGGAAAAGCTGTATGGCTCCCATTAGTTTTAGACGGAGACGATATTGAGAAGTGAGAGGGGGTCAGTGATTTCTCTGTCGCGGTCTCGGTCGTACTTTTCTCGGAGACAGAGATGGGGGCCGCGCCGGGCTCGGGATGGGAGGAGGGAGAGTTCGAGTTCAAGCTCGTGTTCGAGGAGGATCCGCCGCGCCAGAGCCGCTGCGGCCCAGAGGAGACCGAGAGCGGCCAGACGCATCATGAGCCAGCCGGTATGTGTGAAAGATGGAAGGGTGGAAATAGAGATTGTGCATATGAGAGGTTATAGATCTAGGCTGGTAACCGATGTTTTAGGTGCAAAAACCGTAAATCATAATTTAAATGAAATTATAACTTTTATCCCCTTGAGCAGTCATTTGATTTATAATAGTTTGCTTAAAGTAACAGACAGTTTCAGTTTCAGTCATTATATCAGAATCCTACTGAATATGCCCAATACACACAATTTCCCCTCAAATGGTCTTTGCCCGGCCCTGTATGTATGTAGCCTATCTATGTATATTGTGTGTGTGTGTGTGTGTGTGTGTGTGTCTGTGTCTGTGTGTGTAGGTCTAAATGACTCGATGAGGTGACGCATGTTATTCAAAACACATACAAATTCAATTCAAACAAATACATACATTTTATATGGGACTAATGAACATATTTTCATTTTCTGAATTTTCAGAAAATATATCTGTTATAGTTGTCAAAAATGTCTGGGTGGTGTAACTAACTGAACAACTCAAAACCTCATAAATAACCATCCATCTATAAAAAAGTTGGCACATGTTGTTTGGCGCATTATTATTATTTAAATGTGCTGTGAAGCGATTTTGCATTAATATAATACTAATATTTTGAAGAAGAAAAAAAGTTTATCTGGCAAATCATTTTGTTGTCATGTGACAAGAAAATCATAAACAGTGAAGACCTTCATGGCTGTGTCCATGCAGGTCAAAAAGATTTTTTTACCTTTTATGAAAGGAAACACTTTGTTCAGGTCATAATATACAGTCACGGCTCAGACATTTAGAATACAATATTTTTTACATTCACGTGTTTAAAACATTTTTAAAAATAACGATGCGTTGTGGACACTGGTGAATTATAGGTGGAAGGAAAGTATATTTTTTTACATGATGATGGTTTGACCAGTTGAAATTTTTATATATAGTTCTTACTTCAATATTTTTTTTTTTTTGTGGAAAAAATGTTTAATATTTTTTTAAATACATGAACTTGATTCTTATTTGTCATTGACCCATTGGCAGTACACTTTTTGTGCATATTTTAGAAGACTTTTTGAATGTCTTCTAAAAAAGGCACAAAACATGGACATTTTCTAAAGAATTCTTACATGTTACATTCTTACATGTACTCTGAGTCACTGCCCATGTAACTAAGTTTTATCTGCTGAAGTGTGCGTGTGTTTATGGGTAAGTGTGGAGCACAGCACAATGTGTTTTTAATCATCTGTGCGTGTGAGCAGAGTTAACAGCTGCCATCTGGACCCGAACCCTCAATCTCTGTTTACTGAGCATGCATTTAGATACCTCCCTCCAATATTCCCTCCTTTTCCCTGCCCTGTTTCCCCCTCCTGGCACACATTCTGTTGTACACCCATCCTCTGCCTTCATATTGGCATGAAGTTGTAGAAACATGCACCTCAGGTTTCCGTCCACACACACCGCATCACTTTGCTGCCTTTTACCGCAAGTGCTTTCTTCAGATGTTTACTACGTTCTTAAGTGTTGCCATATATAATTATTCATTTACTTGTGACCTACATCATATTAACAACTTTAAAGATTAGACCTTGCTGAGTAGGTTCTACATTTTTACTTTTGAACTTTAGAATTGCCCCTACAAACATTTGATTTGTTAATCATAGTTTACAACAACAATAGAGTAGTGCCTGCAAACGAGGGCTTTTACCAGTGCGATAAGTTGATTTTAAAGTATCTTAGCTTTTATAATATTTGAAATATTCTTTCAGACAAATGTGTTTTAGGTGTTAATTTAAGCTAAATTATCCTAAATTATTAAGATGAATTATTCTGAAGTACAAGGGTGGGAACAAAAAAGCATCCTCAAGAAAAAAAAAAATAATGAAACTGTGGCATTTTTGTGTAAAACTGTCATTGCTATGCTAATGATTTGGTGCGGCAGATTGTAGTTTTGAGAGTTGAGAGATTTCAGAAATCACCCCATTTGGAAAACCTTGTGGATGTGTTCTGAGGTAAACAAGTCTGTGTGTACTTGTGGAAATAATAAATGACGTTTCCACAAAGGCTTCCCTGTGTTTGTTATGATTTTCTATTGAGTGGCCTCGTGTCTCATGTTTCAGCAATTGTTTATCCCATATGCACATACTTGCAGCTCAAAAAGCATGTGATTTGCTATGTACAATAATCTTTTATTTTTGCCACCAGATACCCACTTGACTTCCACACAGGCTGTCCAGCCCATGGGTATCCCCTTGCCTCCACAGTCAGCCGGCC